AAAGAAGGAGCTCCTCCAAACACAGAAGGAGCTCCTCTAAACACAGAAGAAGCTCCTCTGCACACAAAAGAAGCTCCTCTGAACACAGAATGAGCTCCCCTGAACACCGAAAGAGCTCCTCTAAACACAGAAGAAGCTCCTCTGCACACAAAAGAAGCTCCTCTGAACACAGAATGAGCTCCACTGAACACCGAAAGAGCTCCACTAAACACAGAAGAAGCTCCTCTGAACACAAAAGACGCTCCTCTGAACACAGAAAGAGCTCCTCTGAACACAGAAAGAGCTCCTCTGAACACAGAAAGAGCTCCACTGACTGAACACCGAAAGAGCTCCTCTAAACACAGAAGAAGCTCCTCTGCACACAAAAGAAGCTCCTCTGAACACAGAATGAGCTCCACTGAACACCGAAAGAGCTCCACTAAACACAGAAGAAGCTCCTCTGAACACAGAAGAAGCTCCTCTGAACACAGAAAGAGCTCCTCTGAACACAGAAAGAGCTCCACTGAACACAGAAGTAGCTCTTCTGAACACAGACGAAGCTCCTCTGAACACGAACGGAGCTCCTCTAAACAAGGAAGGAGCTTCTCTAAACACAGAAGGAGCTCCTCTGAACACAAAAGAAGCTCCTCTGAACAACAAATAATTTCCTCTAAACACAGAAGGAGTGCCTCTAAATATAGGAAGAGCTCCTCTGAACATGGAAGGTGCTCCTCTGAACTCAGAAGAAGCTTCCCTAAACACAGAAGAAACTCCTTCCACTTTCGCCCAAACAGCTGCGGCCAGGAATTTCCCACCCTGTAAGCAAAAGGGCAGGATGAAGACATAATTGACCTTACATGGCCACATGGCTATATTTGTTCAATGGATTGACCTAATATGACCATGTGGCCATATAAGGTCAATTATGTCAGCACAAGCATTCTGCCCCTTTGCTTTTGTGCATCTTTAGGGCATGGAATGCCCCAGCCCGCAGTTGATTGGGCAGGTGGCTCATGGCACTTCCGTCTTTCGAAGGAGCTCAGGTCAGGATTGATCTGGAGATTGTCCCTACTTGATAGATAGATAGATAGATAGATAGATAGATAGATAGATAGATAGATAGATAGTCAAAGAGTAGGCTTTTTCATATCCTAAACACTCACGTGGTCTAATTTCCAAATAGGGCCAGGCAGTGAACACCACCCATAACCCAGGAGCCATCTGGCACACATCTAGTATATATGGGCCCCTACCTTGCAGAGGGCCCTTATTCAACTCTACAGTCTGCCCTAATGGTATTTCTGTGTCTGCCTATACAGAAAACCCCCAGACTGAGGGAGGGAGAATCAGTGCAAGGAGCCAATCAACTGTGCTGCAGGGCAAGAATCACGCTGATAGCAGGAGAGAGCAAAGTGATCCAGAGAGGATCTCACCAGTCTACTACTTCTCCTCTCACTGTCCAGTCTCAGGCTGGGGTGAGGGTGTAAGTGATACTGAACTGCGGCAGAGAAAAATCAGGTCTTCCCTTGCCAAATAAGTCTGTGCTGTGTGACAGAGCTGTGCTAATCTTGGATGGATGGAAACAAGTATCCTTTGGCAGGTAAAACAGCTTTTGTGCATTTTATTTATGAATTTCGCTGTCTGCCGGGATTTCAGTTTTAAATTAAATGTACCATGTGACTACTGACAGTGCCAGGTGCCTGGCTATCATTGTTATCCTCTGGTTTTAATACATTCAGAGTCACTGATCTGGAACAAGCATAACGCCAAAAGAATCAGTGTAAAGTCCACGATCTTTAGGCTCCATTCACAGCGGAGTGGCTGTCCGCGCGTATTCGGCAGCACGGACACGTGCGGAGCCGCTCTAAACAGAGAAAACAGTGCGCTTTAATATGCATTATTCAGACTATTGCAGGGACCGCATGGCCACCAAAATAGTACAAGCGAGATAATCTAGCGGATTCTGCACGTTCACGGCTATTTAATACGGATGCGTGCGGATTAAATATGTTATCGTTTCCGTCCCGCCGGGTCTTCCACGCAGAAAACCTTGCGGGATACGCAAACGCTGTATGTGAACGAAGCCTTAGACTTTACCTAAGTCCTTGACAGCCAGGCAACTACCATTTGCAGAGGGCAGGCAGTAACAGCAACCTATTTCCTTCACAACAGGTTGCTTCTTATTACAAACTACACTATACATGTTAGCGCCTATAGTTGACGTGTGCGCTAATTCATGGGAATTTCTAGAATGATTCTGTAAGCCGCTGTGAAATTACTGAATTCTGATCTCTGTCAACTTTCGTCTCGCAACGGAAAAAAATTACATTTTACGTTTTGTTGAAAATCCGCTTTTTTTTCCACATCATGTAAAAATGTTTCCATGGTTTTCCTTGTACACGCACATATGATTCATGTCTTGTGTAAACATATCTCTAGCAGGGTAGCAGTACCAGCCTCAAGATGCCTCTTTAATAAGTAATCATCCAGCTGCTGCTTTACTGGCAAAGAGCTCACTGACATTCCAAGGAGAAAACTCTGATTGTTCAGTTACGAGGGACGAGCTGTGCTGCTTTCTCGCCAAGACAACCGCAGGGTAGTGCTTAGAATCTTCACTTTGGACAGAACCTTTCAAAATATGTAACTTCATGTAAACTAGACTTGTTACTCCTCCACAAAAATCGTTTAATTTCAAATTGATTCGGATTTGTATTTTTTGGATTCCAAATTCAATTCTGTTCATTATTCGGATTTCAAATTTTATGCAACAGATTCATCCAGCTACGCTACACTGTGTGGATGCAGTGCAGGTGCTAGGATTCTTGCATACACAGGCAAATGCCAGAGGTGCCGCGTGTGTCGGGATCCCCAAGTACTTGTCAAAATGCCCTGTTTTTTCCGCCCTCACCCTGCAGCGCCCTCAGGCGGCCGCCTGACTTGCCTTGCGGTAGCGCCGGGCCTGTGTGGATGGAGGGATCTCCCACTGGGCCAAGCTTCAGTATCTTGCTAGTCGGCCCCGCTGGCTATCAAAATACCTGAACAATGCCTGCATCCAATCAGATTGTTCAGGTATTTTGACATATATGATGTATATAACTTCCGCATTCTTGTGTCACTCTCCAGCTTCAGAAGCTGATGAAGCAGATTTCTGCTTCATCGGCTTCTTTGGGGGTCCCTAGGTGACATTAGGGGTCTTGGAGACCCCTGATGTCTCCATAAAGAGGACCTGTCACATCTCTTTGCTATTACACAGGGAGGTTTCTTAGCCCCCTACGTGATAACAATAACGCTAAGTGAAAAAAAAAACAGGAGAAAAAAAATTAAAGTTGCAAAAAAATAAAAAATAAAGTCACACATGGAAAAAAAAAAGTTTAAAGACCCACCCATACATACACGCGTGCAAACATGTGTCGGGTGCGCATAAGTGCAAAAATGACAATTGCGCCCATTACGCCACACATGTTATATATCGCCACGAACGTCGCAGTGAGATCAATAATTCTAGGCCCATCAATCACTGATAACACTAAAATGATGAGCGGTAAAAGCTTTTAAAACGTCGCCTATGGTCAATTTTGGGTATGGTAGTTTTTTGCAATTTCGTGGGAGCGTGCGATTTTAAGGCTTGACATGTTTGGTATCTATTTACCCGACGTGACCCCGTCTTTTATATTTTACAAAAAAATTGGGTAATAATAATTGTTTCCTAACATAATGTAAAAAAATAACTTTTTTATTTTCAACATTTTCAGTTATTTTTCCTTAATATAGTAAAAAAAAAAAAACAGTGGTGATTATATACCACCAAAATAAAGCTCTATCTGTCCCCAAAAAATGGTATAAATTTAATTTCAGTACAGTACCTCAGTTTGCCTGAGGTACCAGGAAAAAAACTGGAAAACTTTTTTTCAATAATGAATCCGGATCTAACAAATATGAATTGCCCAGCAAAATATTTCTTTAATTTGTGGCTGAGCTATTTATTATAGTTTATATATTAATATTATTTTGTTGATTTCAGTGATAAGTTATGTTTGATCAATAAAGGCCGTGGCCAATTAAATTCCAAAAATCAGTCTTTGTTTTTTATTTATTAAGTAGTGAATTATTACATATGATAAAATGTAAATTAAAAGGTTGTGCTGTCTATAGTCCCATGTTTGTGGCAGGGTGACAACACGGAAGCACAGCTAGAAAACAGCATAACAGGAAGAACCTGAACAAGGCCTTTCATGGCAGGATCGCCAGTTATTATTTAAATGAAAGGTGCTAATTTAAAGGTTGAAAACAGGTTTTGAAATGAGATGTGGCAAGCACGGCCGTGTTGGGCAGCTCCCAGGAAGGACGGGTGCTGCGTGTGATTACCTAGTATGCAGCTCCTGTCCTTCTCTATGGGACTACGCCGCCCTACTCTCACCCGCCCTGCATGTCCTACGCTGACAGGATGGACCTGCACTTGAGGTGAGCGTATGGACGTGTAGTCTCATAGAGAAGGGACGGGGGCTGCATACTAATCACACGCAGCACCCGTCCTTCCTGGGAGCTACCCGATACGGCCGTGCACGCAGCTGTACGTGCCGGCCAATTCCCATGTGAATGAGCCCTTAAGGTTTGAAATTGAAAGAGAGATGCTGATTGGTTGCAGTGCACAGCTACTCCAGATTTTGTCTGCTCCAGACTTGATAAATTCTCCCAATGCGTGTTAACATGCAAAGGTAAACACATTTAGCATGCATGTATCAACACACCGCAACAGTTTGAATCCAGCACTAATGTGTTACTGCCTATATGAAATTTTACTAATTGTGTTTAGATCAACTCTGAAGTTCAGAACTGATAAAAGTGGATGTCACTTATTGCTATGGTAAAAATCATGAAAGTAATTCCTATTGTATAGAATTCCAACCAACAAAATGGCGCTACGGTACCTAGAGACACTTTGCAGAAGCTGTCGGCGTATGCTCAGTTATATCAGCACGCTGAGTCTTTAGGGCGACGTCATGACGCCACACTCTAACCCGGAAGTGTTAGCCGGTTCCTTTCCCCTTTTCCGGAGCAGCTGCGGCGTGCTGTACTAGGCTGTTCAGCCATGAGTGTTCCGGCTTTTATTGATGTGACCGAGGAGGATCAGGTGAGGAGCCCCGGACTCCTTCACAGATGTGACGCCTGATGACCGGGTGCAGGGAGCTAGGCAAGCTGCGCTCCTCCGGCTGCTGTGGGGCTGGGAGTCCCCTAGGGCTAGTGAGACTTGTAGTTCCGCAGCATCTGGAAGGGCCCATATTGGTTAAAGGTGGAGCTAGCTGTAGCAATGACCTGGATGACACATATTAATGTATAGGCTGCTCTGATAAAGATCTGTATGCAGCTACTATATATCCATATGTGTGTGTTTGTATATGTATGTGTGTATATGTATGTGTGTATATATATAT